CTGTCATTTGTGACAACACAGATGAACCTAGAGGACATTACATTGGTGAAATAAGCCAGACACAAAAAGACAAATACCACATGATCTCATTCACATGTGGTCACTTAAAAAGTTGACATCATAAAAGTAGAGAGTAGAAGTAGAATGGTAGTTACCAGAGTCTGGGGTAGTTGTGGGATAGGGGTAGGGGTTGGGGAGATGTTGATCAAAGGATATACATTTAAAGTTAAAGAAGAGGATAAGGATAAGTTCAAGGGAACTATCGTACAGCATGGTGACTATAGTCTGCAACATTGTATTCTTGAAAAACACTAAAACAGTGGATATTAAGTGTTCTTATCACAAAAATGGTAACTATGTGAGGCAATACATTTGTTAAATATTAATAGTTAACAATTCCATAATGTATATATACTGTACTTCAAAACATTATGTTGTACATGACAAATATATATAATTTTATGTCAAATTTATTTTAGAAAATAAATTTGAAAAAAGATACTTGCTGTATATAAGTTGTTTTTTATAAAAAACTTTCTTAATGTCTCTTTTAAATTACAATGTACTAAATATTAATTTTACCTTTTTTAAAATTTTCCTACACATCTGTAATCAACAGGAAGAGTTTTCAATGTTTTGACATTTTCAAAGGTCTCAGAATAATCAAAATTTTCTCACTTACTGAGATCGCTTTGAATGGTTTCAGTTTGCCTGACCATTTTTACCTCTCCAAACTACCATTCAAAGCAAGGACTGTCTGTACAGTAAGATTATTTAATCACATTATCAAAAGTATATGTACATCAGGAGCATCCAGGTTCCTAACTGACCTAGAAAAATCTACCAGGCCAAATATCAAAGTCTCAAGAGGGAAATACACTAGACTACTATATACAGTTCAGGTTTCAGGTTTTATTTTATGATTTATACATGTAATTCTCTTCTATTACTACTCCCAAGTTTTGCCCATGGCCATGTATCTTTATCTAAAGAAGGGGAAAACAGGCTGGCCATGGTGTCTCTCTCATGCCTGTAATCCCAGCATTTGGGGAGGAAAAGACAGGAGAATCACTTGAGACCAGGAGTTTGAGACTAGCCTGGGCAACAAAGGAAGACCCCATCTCCATTAAAAAAAAAAAAACAACAAAAAACAACTTTTTTAATTTAGCCAGACACAGTGGCGAGTGCCTGTACTTCCAGGTACCCTAGGCTGAGACAGGAGGATCACCTGAGCCCAGGAGTTCCCAGGCCGCAGTGAGCTATGATCACACCACTGCAACTGCACTTCAGCCTGGGCAACAGAATGAGACCATGTCTCTTAAAAAACAAAATAAAACAAGGCAGGGGGAGAACAAACAAGATCATGTTGTCCAACCTTTTCATAAATGGGACGGGGAAAGCAAAGCTTAGCGATTAAGTGACATGTTCAGGGTAGCACAGTAGTTTGCAAGGGGCAGCAGGGAAATCAGAACCACTGCTAAACTAGTTCCTCTTGCAGTATACACAATGCTGCCCCCTTCTGAAAAGGGCAATTAGTAGGTTTTACTTTGGTTTTGTTTTCTACCCAGAGCTTACACAGACCTACTAATTTAAACAAAATTCCATTTTTTCTGAGTTTCTCATTATTTAAAGACATTTTATAAGCATGTACATTCAAAGAGACTAGACCCCCATTGTAACACTAATATAACGTAAGTGATAAATTTTAAAACATTTCATATTATAATGTAATATGGTATTCTGGATGGGGTCCTGGGACAGAAAAAGGACATTAGGTAAAAACTAAGGAAATCTTAATATAGCATGAATTTTAATTAATAAATGTGTCATGCCTGTAATCCTAGCACTTTGGGAGGCTGAGGCAGGAAGATTGTTTGAGAAGAGTTCGAGACCAGCCTGAGCAAGAGCGAAACCCTGTCTCTACCAAAAAATAGAAAAATTAGCCAAGCTTGACACGCACGCCTGTAGTCCCAGCTACCTGGGAGGCTGAAGCAGGAGGATCACTATGATGATGCTGCTGCATTCTAGCTCCAGCTACAGAACGAGATCCTGTCTCAAAAACAATAAAAAATAAAAATAAATGTGTCAATATTGGCTCCCTAATTGTGACAAATGCACTATACTAATATAAGAAATTAACAAAGGAAAATGAATGTGAGGTATATGGGAAGTCTATTATCTTCACAACTTTTCTATAAATCTACATGAGTTTACTTTTTTTAATAACTACTGCACATACTTTTCTATCCTACAGTAATTATTATTACTAATGCTGGGATCTAATGAAATTTTGAATCATCGGTACTAAATACCATTGATAAATCACTATTCCCTAGAGTAGTGTTTCTTAAGCTATACCCTTTGAAATTCTCTTGACTTCCAAAGGTGACTCTGCCTCTTGGAAGGGGGAACCTAGCCAGTGGGGTCTCCATCAAAGTCCCTCTTCCATCCATAAGAAAGGTCTAAGAGTCTGAAACAAGGATTCTGCTAGGAAGGGAAGGATAAAAGCCACTCTCTATCCTAAAGAATGTAAGATCCATGTTTTCAGAAATATTCCAAATTCATAGCTCCTCAATGGAGAGCACTAGACTGAGGTAAAAGACCTTGCCTCTACTACTAACCAGCTATGTATAAACTTACATTTCTTTGAGCCTCAGTTTTTGCATCTGCAAAATAAGAGGGCCAGATGGTATGGCAAACAAAGTATGTTTCAGCTTAAAAATCTCAATTATTTAGAATTTTTTTCCCCAAATTCTCTTCTAGAAAGAGGAAGGCAAAAGTATATGACTTAGATATTACACATTGAACTATAAGGCTTTAATAAATATCAAAAAATGTTTGTCAGGGTTTTTTTTCTTTTTGACCTATTAAACAACTATTTTTATCACAATATTTTAGCTTTAATTAAAAACGTGTGTATTACATCTATCTTGCATGTCCAATTTTAAATTTCAAGCCCTATCACATTTATTTCACAAATACACAGGTACTAGTTCCCTCCCATGCTACCAAAAAGCAAACAATACAAAAGTATAGCTAATTGACAGTGTAATTAAAAAATAGTTTCAAAACATAATGCAAAGTTTCTTCTGGAGTAATTTCCCTCCCTGTTTGACAACACAATCAATTATCTAAAGTCCAGAAAATGGATAAATAGAATAATATAAAACTGACCTGAGCAACAGTTTCAAATCAAATTTCAGTGGTTTAAGAAAACTCAATTAACTCCCTAAAACATATTCTCTTCTTGGCCAGGTGCCGTGGCTCACACCTGTAGTCCCGGCTACTTGGGAGGCTAGGGCAGGATTGCTCCAGACAGGAGTTTGAGGTTGCCACAAGCTAGGCTGATGCCGCAGCACTCTAGCCTGGGCAACAGAGTGAAACTCTGTCTCAATCAATCAATCGATAAAATATATTCTCTTCTTAATTGCACCAAGGTTTCAAATTTCTAAGTCTAAAAACAGAGTGAAACTGTAACAATGCTGAAATATCGTTACTAGAAAAACTAGAAAGCACAGGCTTCCAAAGTACAATATGCTAATAACCTATCCGCAAATAACGTTATAATTTATATTCAACTTCCAAAAATCACTAAAAGGGGTTAACAAAAAGCATTTGCCATTAATATTATCTAATCTTTGGTCTTTTCAAAATATTGTAACATCGTCCCATACGTATAGTGTTAAAAAAAATTGTGTTTTAACGAACAATGCAATCCGCAAAATAAAAATAAAAACTATCAATCAAATTGAAATGCATAATTTTATTACTCACTAAATTTTCAAGAACTTACAGACACTAAGCACAACTCTTAAAAAGATATGGTCCTATTCACAAGCACACGGATTTCAAACAGTAAGCACAGCAATTAAAGTTGCAACACCAAAATGTCCCTTTAAAAACAATCCTTGTTTTACTAGTTAGCTCTGACCCCCAGTATATTGAAATATTTCCCCATCGCTAGAATTGCTAAAGATCTTATCATCCATAACACCAGTACATGATAAAGATTTAAAAGACATCATTTTTAACTGAAACATATGCAGAATGTATCCTGAGATATTACTTTAAAAGTACTGATCACAACATACATTTGAAGCCTTCTATTTTAGTATATATGGATTTGAAACTTCATTTTATTATGCAGTGATGGCATTAAATATTAAATCACACTGTTCTATAATCTAGTTTCAATAAAAACTAGAAAAAGGTCATGTGTATCAACATTTTTAAACAGTAAAACTTAACATTTTTAACTTACTAACATTTTTGAAATGGTCAAATTTCTAAAACCTCGGCGTTAATACTTAATTTCAAAGTCTGTACTCTAAGGAAACCAAACGTTGTATTCAGTACAGGAGAGGAGCCGAACAGTTTATCTAAGAAATCACTTGTTCTTCAATTAGCTTTCATCTTGCTCTCTGCTTTTATTTTGTTTGCACTGTTTTTCACAAACGAAAAGAAGATAACACGTATTCAGTCAGGTAAGAATAATCATCTCTCCCTTATTCTAAAAAGCATTATCCTCTTTAGTCCTTCCCTCCCTCACCCGTGTCAAGGGGAGTCGAGGGGGGACGCGACCCCCGACTCCATCCAGGACGCCTCTTGGCCTGCCCTCCGCTTCGGTGCCCGAAGTTGACACCCGCTTCCTCCCCTTCCTCACATACTGCCTTCACACCTTGACTCGGACCCGGGCCCGCCAGACCCTGCGGGTGCACCCGCGCCGAAGCCACCCCGCCCCGAGCCCGCAAGCGCGCGGCCGACGCGCGAGCACGACCTGCCACCCCCGACGGCCGCCCGGGCCCTCGGCGCCGGCGCCGGTCCCGCCCCGACGCTCCCTGGTCCCAAGGCTTCGCTCCGCAGAGAGCGCAGCATTCGAGACAGCACACCCCACCCCGTGTGGGCTTCTCCCACACGGTCAGCGCCCGGCCGCCAGCAGCAGGCGGAAGGGCAGAGCCTGGTCGGAGCGGAAAAGCAGGCAGCCCGGCCCGGGAACCGACCTGTGGAGACCGCCATCTTCTCCTGCAGCTAGACGCAGCCGCCCGCACGCACGGGACGTCTCGCGTCACTTCCGGGAGCGCGCCGCCTGGCTCGCGTCACTGCGGACTCCGCCCCGGCGGCCTGCGGTGGCCGGAGTGTGACAGCGCGCATGTGGGCCGAGGGGCACCAGAACCTCTCGCTGCTTTTCTACTCCCTGCGACTCTACTCTCAAACTGAAACGCTGAAAAATAAGTTCGCGAGAGGGTTGGGGGACAAAGTTGAGTCCGCCTCCACAGTGCAGAGCAAAAAGACGAAGAAAAAGCATTTGGTAAAAGGCACGTGAAGCGGGCTGCGCTCTCCCTGAGCGCGCAAACGGAGCGTGCGGGGACGGAGAGTATGCACCGGTTTCCAGTCCCTTA